TGACTGTAAATTTCCAATCAGCATTGAAAGTCTGTAACCGATGTTTATATGTGGCTGCATCGTGTATAAACTAAAGCAGTCTTTCTAAATGCGTCTCTTGTAGGCCGGACCTGCTGCGCTCTGACGGCATCCCCAGCATTGACCCCCTCCCCTCACCATCGCCTCTATCAGGCAGCCCCAAAGTCTCCACTCCCCCTGGGAAATCCCGCTACAGGAGCAAGCCCCGCCACCGCCGCGCTAACAGCAAAGGAAGCCACAACGAGTTCCCCGGCACCTTGAAGTCCATCGCCGGGGCCTCAGAAGACACCCAGTCTTTGCAGGAGACACCATTTCATCATCACCACCATCACCACCACCACCCACCTCCTGAGGGCCAGTTTCTTCCCCTGAAAGGCCGCGAGGAGGCCGTTGTCAACTGTGCCAACAATCTGCGCTACTTCGGCCCCGCTGCCGCCCTCCGCAGCCCTCAGACCGACCACCTGCAGCGCCGCGTCTCTGACTCCAGCCCCGACCTCATTTCCACAGCCGTGGATGCCGACACACGGCAGCGGACTTCCTCCACCAGCTCCAACCCCATACCAGGTGCTGGTTTGTTATGCCCCTGCTGCCAGGCCCACCCTCTCCCCGGCTGCTTGCACTGTCAGGAGACCCCTCCCACACTAAGCCAACCAGAACTGCCGCACTACTCGCTGCTCAGCACCCAAGAAAGCAACCAGTCCTGTCTGGGACCTCCTAATAAAGAGGCACACTCAAAAGGAGAGGACACTAATAACACTTCCCTGCAGGAGCAGGAGCTAACCCAGCCCAAACAGCCGCTGCCGTCTGCTCTGCCCCGCACCCTCAGACCCCTCAGAAAGGTGAGCGTCCCTTAATCAATCTACCGACGGGTTCACACCCCTATCCCCCATGTTGTGACAACACAATCACAAATTTTAACATGTTTTCCTCAGGTTTTTTTTCTGTAGCAGAAGGAAACTGATTTTAAGAACAGAATCCAGATTAAATATGTCTATAATTGGGAAATAAAACAATGATTTGTGAGGATCTCAGGTGTGTGTTTGGTAACAATAGTGAATAAACATTGTCATAAAGCTGCAGGGAAGTTTAGAGAGGAGTGGGTTGTAAAACTATATCCAAAGCAATGAACATCTCTTGGTTCAGTTCACAGTTTTCAAAGAAACTATAAAATGATTGTAAACCTACTAGTTTGCTTCATGCTAGTAGAGAACGCTACAGCCGTGTGAAAGTAAATCTTCCTCTGAGATTTGATCCAAAATAAACTTTCTTAACTGCTATGTGAGGCGGAAAATGATCAAAGTTGATCATTCTAAATAGGGCACCTCAAAGGTAATACATGATGGTGGCAGTGTCATGCTGTAGGGATGTGTTTCTACTAAATAAAGTGCAATAGGGGAAATATTTTAGATCCCTGAGACTGATGATTAAAATCCAGTCCTGCATCAGTGGCTGCTGTTTGGAGACGCTCCTCATCCAATCTAAGTGAACTGAAGCTACTTTTCACAGAATTAAAGGCACAACATGTTTGTGTGGAGATGTGGAGAGCTGGTTGTGACATCCATGTCCAGGAACCATTAAGAATTTTCTGTTGTGTCACTCTTTTATAAAAAGTTGTTTATTTTCCCTCAAAAAACCCTCTGATATCCAATACAAACCTCTAGCTGTAAGGTCAGAGAATCTAGAAACACCTATGAGGTATGAATACTTTTGATAGACTCTTAAACTAACAATCAGCTTAGTGTAAGGTAGTAATGTGAAGTAGTGGGGTGTGTTTACTTTAGGGTACTGTGTGTGTCTGCCTGTCTGTATTAACGGGCATTGCTGCCATTTTTTGTCAGGGTGATGAGTCATCTGAAGAGGAGGAGGGAGAGGTGGACAGTGAAGTAGAGTTTCCACGGCGACAGAGGTAAAATACTTTGCAAACTGACTTTTAATCGCATCTCAATGTTGTTAAATGAATCCATACAAATGAACCTTTCCACATAATAATAAAGACGAAGCCAGAATGAAGCAAGACTAAGCGACTCAAATAAACGTTATTTTTCTCCATGAATGCCTGCAGACCCCATCGCTGTATGAGCAGCTTCCAGTCCTACTCCACCTTCAGCTCAGAGAACCTGTCTGTGTCTGACGGGGAGGAGGGAAACACCAGCGACCACTCGCACAGCGGACCTCTGGAGAAGCTGAGCGCCAGTCAGGAGGAGCACCTGGACGAGCTGCTGTCGCACACGCCGGACATCCCCATCGACATCTCCACCCAATCCGACGGCCTCTCCGACAAGGAGTGCGCCGTGCGCAGGGTGAAAACGCAGATCTCACTGGGGAAACTGTGCTCCGACGAACACAGCTATGAGGTCAGTGAAGCTGTAGCTTTATTTTTGCACTTAACGGAAAAAAAAAAGACTCCAAATTATCCGAAACTGCTTTGAAAGTAGTTTCTACCTAAACCACAATAATTTTTATGGCCATTTGTTCTTCTTTTGTCTTTGAAACCATTAAGGCTCATGACCTACTTACCTAAAACTATCTACTACTGTGGTGGAGGGCTGATTAGAAGCAGGAGCATTTGCAGCGTCAGGCCAACCGTGAACTCCTTTGTGAATGTGAAGCCATCTAAACCTGGATCAGAGTGGATCACAAACAGCATAACGATCATAAACACAGCAGCTAATCTATTGCAGCCGAACATAAGACTACTGACCTGCTTGAACCGTAAAGAAGAATTAATTAAAACTCCTCAAAAAAAATAAGAGAATCTGAGAGAAACGTAAAACAACCAGTTAAGAGCAAGATGGCTGGCTTGAAGTGCAAATAATTATATTTTACTCAGTGACTTTAAATAAAAACCCAAACTATTTATTCAAAACAACGTTTGGTTTTCAACTAAACACAACAATTTGTATTTAAACCATAGAACAAATATCTTCCATCGTGTTGAATCATTACTCATGCTTTGTTTTTTTTACCTTATTTTATGTGCAGAACCCGCTGCAGTTCGGGGACTCGGACTGTGACTCATCAGAGGCAGAGTGCTCCGATACGACCATCAGAAACAACAAAGTCGGGGCTCCGTCGTCGTGGTGAAAGTGCCTGCAGGGCGTCGGATCGATTTTTGTGTTTTTAATTTAGCCTGGTGGCCACCGTGTCCTGATTAGAGGGCTCCTCAGAAAATACAGCAATAAGAGGACATCATAGTGAACAAAACTCCCCCTATAGTCCAACGTAACCCCCCCCACCTAATCCAAAGCGTCAACCCCCGTCATTGCATCCAGGCAAACTCATGGCAGGGATTCCCTTTTGAATGATGATGTAGATAGTTTAATGTTCTTAATTTATTTTTGTCTGAGTTTTGAAAAGAAATTCAGGATTCTCTGATTCATACAGAGAAGAAAACAAAAACAACAGACACATTTAGTGTGTCTTAGTGAGATACTACCACTAGATGAAGGAGCTGGGGGACGTGTGGAGGGGCCGATGCCTCCCAGCAGCGCTACTGGCCTTCATCTTGCTACAGCTGCTCTGAGAATCTCTGTGTCAGTACTTTCTATAAAAAACAAACAAAAGCCACCTCTTCGTTGAGTTTACAGCGCAGTGATCCCGGTATCCCTCATCCTTTTTGCTTTCTTCTTGTCAGGACTTTGGCCGAAACAGGGACCAATGAGCTCACGGAAACACTGTCAACACCAGCATGAACAACTCGCCTTGCAAATGCAACTGGTAACCCCTAAAAGAAAATAAAATAAAATGGCGATAGGCGTGTCATCATCAGGTTCTCTTCAAAGCTATTAGAGCATGCTAGCAAGATGCAAAACGTTTAACAAGGACTGCATGAAGCAGAGAAGCAGGCAGCAATGAGGACGACTCGTCCGAGAGATAAAAACAAAGACACGGCATCAGCAAACAGACATCACAACCACTGTTTGGTGCGAATAAGCCCCCCTAACCATCAGACATTGCAGTTTCAAGTCTCATCTCAGGATCGCTCAAGGACTGTGAAACTGGACTGGACCAACTATCGTGTGAAAGAATGTTCTTCGACTGGCACATATTAATATAAAAGGACCATGGAGGAGAAAAAGAAGAAAAACAAAAACTTACAGAAAAGCCTTGATGTTCAACCCTTTAGTTCTGTAGGTGTTTCTTAGCTGCAATCCAAATGCAGTATCTCTTTTAATTATTACTTTTCTTTTTTCCTAAAGCTTGTAAAAGCCAACCACTTACCATTTTCTTGCAGTGTTATTTTTTTTAGGCTGATCCATAATGATACAGATGCGTCTCTGTAAAAAAGGAATGTCATGAAAAAGAGGTTCTACACCCCTAAATAAGTCAACGTCCGTCAGCATTGTAGTCACTATATCCTTTCAGTTTTATTAATTTGGATTTAAAACTAAAACTGTTCAAATATGTTTTCATAGCAGTTTCTGAAATAATTCTATTTTTAATAAGATATGAGATGGCACAACCTCCACTATCAGGCAAAGCTGTACATGGTTACTGCTGAAGCTTCCCAGAGAGAACATATGAAAATGAAGGTATAGTGAAAGGAAGAACTAAAGCAGAAAAGGTGCACAGCAGCAACAACCACAGCATTAAGAGGAAAACAGCAATACAGAATTAAAAAGTCATGAAAAGTCAATCAAAATGAATGAATATACATCCATATTCTTTCCTTTTGCCCTTAATTAAAAGGTCCTACTCTCTTACTAAGACCTTATGAGTTAGTTCATTCACAATGAACATAAAGGCCTTCAGATTAAACTGTTGCACCCAGCTGGCTTCTTATATTCTGCTTTATACTTTCTTATTGTTCAGTTTTTTGCTTTATTCCTATAGGTATTGAATTTACACCACTAAGAAAGGCTCTTAGTTTTAGGTGGAATTTACTAGAACTTGCAGAAACCCTGTTAAAATAAGAAACTCTGGCTGTGTCTGAACATCCACCCTAACCCCTAAATCCCTCAATCACTATATATAGTGCGGGGACTATTTAGTGGACTTTATAGTGAACTCAGTTAACTTACCGTTCGGACAGATGATCACTACTTTTCTCCCCCCCGTTGGTCATGTGACTCCGCCTCCCCACACGGTGTCTGCGCCATCTTTGTTCTCTCTGACCTCCAAAACAAACCCCACTCTTTCTGGGATATATCTGCTTGTCTGGTGACCATGGATATTCACTACTTTTGAGGGTGCATTGTGGGAAATTTTGAATCCACTACTTTTTCATCCACTAAATATTTGAACACTCATGTAACATAGCGTAACCCCTCTATAGTGCTCTATATAGGGGGTAGGGCGGCTGTTCAGACACAGTCTCTGTGTTTAACGATTCTAGTTTCACTTTTTTAATTAATTGACTAAAATAATTTGTCTTTTTGATGATATTCCACTTTTTTTAGACACATTCATAAATATTGTTAGCTGAAAAGCAATAATACACATCAGGTTGGCTCTCAGGTGACAAATGAGGGTGGGGGGCGGGGTAAGTCCAGCAGGCTGGATGTAACCATGGTGACAGGGGGATTAAAGGGGAGCAGTGAGTGAATATATTTTATAACTGATCCCTTCCTCTTTTATTCCTAACTTGCCTTTTTGAGGTAGGATGCTCAGGTTTTGTGTTGCTGAACTACAGCAATATATCAGCTGCCACTAGATGGCGACAGTTACATGCTTATTTTTGCCTTTTCTGGTGGAAAACTCCTCCTATTCTGTTACTTTAAATCTCATAATCCAAGCAATACAACTTTTTTTTCATCTGATCATCTTAATAATAAAAAAGAGATACTGCATTTATGGAAGCATTATTATTTTTTAAATCCCGGTCTGGGTTCCCCATTTGTAATAATCCCATCAATGGGGATGGTCTTGAACGTTAAATGATGTCAGATCAGACGTGTGTGAGGATGGTTGTGAATCTGCATAAGGAACACAAGCCAGAGGCCTCAGAGCTTTAAGCTACCCTTGGTTTTCACCAACCATATATCTCAGTGTTAATCCTGTACATAATCCGATGTAAATGTAATGTGATACTTTTTTTTTTTGTCCTCTTTCGTTACTGTTGCACAGCTGAGAGGCCGAGCGCTCGGACAGGAGGAGGTGATGTTTGTATCAGTATTGAACACTACTGCAGGAAGATGAATCTTGATGAAATGAGCTTGAGAGCTTTAAAAAAAAAAGGCTCCATCTACCTTCTTCTCTTTTGTTTACGTACATGTGAAGTAACCCTGTGTAATCTGACCGAGCTGATTATAACACTTGTCTTCTCTGGCGCCCATCCTGTGAAGAATGATTGTTGTGAAGTTTTAACTTAATTTTTGATCTTTTTATTGTTTTATTTTTCTCCTCTTTGTAGCTGGCCTACATTATTATTGAAATTAATTTATTTGGAATAAGTCATCAGGAGTAGTATTGTTTTAATTTCAGGCAGCTTCAGAAATGTCATGACCAATGGTTTCTCCTTTTGAAGGAAGCACAATGAATGGGTGTGGGGAAGAGGGCAGCATCTGGTTGGATCAGCTGCAGATGAACCATTCATCCTTTAGATTAATCATCATAGTTTAAAGTATTAAAGAAGTAGTTAGCAGAATCGTTAGTTCCTCCAGCTTTTTCCAGCCTCTCGTAGGTCGTTAGGAATCCCCTCTGTCACAGCAGGGTGTTTGAACCAGAGGGAACATGGAGGGAGACTATTAGTTTTCTTCTCCTGCAGTGATTCCTTCTTTGCTTTTGTAATCAAAATCTGAAATACTTGTCTGAATTTCTGTAACAGTTATTGCCTCATTTTGTTTAGCAGACATCTATTTATTTTGTTTTCTCTCATTTCCAACCCTCTTCCCTGTTGAATGGCATTATGATCAACCAATCCTGTCAATTTTTTTCTGTATTATTCAGTGTACAGTGCAATAGGAAAATAAAATCAAAGCAAACAAGTTGCATGGAATAAATGCTGATGTACTGTACCAACAAAACCATAGTATGTCTTTTTTTTTATCATAAAAAAAACAGGGAATGCATATGCAGTGCTTTGAAAAAGTAATAGGTTCCACAATTTGCATTATTAATCCATCATTAATCTATAAATATATATATTTAATTTAGGTTTCCTGTGTTAGTTCAGGGGTGTCTAAGATTTGTCTATATGAATATGAGAATCTTTCCTCATATTTTTATTTACTGGTATGTTTTGGGTTGAACTTTGATTAGGCTGTTTTACAAAAAATACCTTTTGCTATAAACTCTCACATTACAACTCTGATTGTATTTGAACCTCTTCCCTTTTCTCAAGTCTCTGCCTCTTTAGTTTTTTCTTTTTTTTCAGGATTGCACTATATTTTTCCATCGATTCCATTTCCAACCATCTCCACAGAACAATGCCACCATCTTCTTGTTTTAATGTTGGAATGGTTTATTCAGGAGGATTGTTTCTTTTTCCCCCTACAGACCTTCTGTAGAATTTTCATGTTGGCCTAACAGATAAATTCTGGTACCTTCTTCCGCAAGTTAGCTGTCTCATACATGGTTAAAAGGAAAATCAAAACTGGACTTCTTATTAAATGCTGAATATGTAGAGTGTTTGATTAACAGCTGTGATGATAGAGTTGCAGATTTGATTAATGCTCTCCTTTCCTGGCCTGTAAGATGTTAAGCTGATCTGTTTACGTCTTCATGTGATCTAATCATGGATGTTCAATAGTTAGGTTATTCATAACCAAACCTCCAGCTTCCTCCCTCAACCTGTTTGCTGTAATCCTTGTTTTTTATGATGCTGTTTGTTTATTAATCTTTAATAAATGCCGGCAGTAACCGACAGGTATATTTATAAACAGATTAAATCATACTAATTGGGTACCGCTTGAAGACATTTAGTTGTACTAGATTTTATTCAGCTGTATCTAAATAAAGGTGACAGCAAATCAACAGAAGATCCACATCCTAATTTTTTAGGTTTCTGTTGATTAAAAATCTTGTAAACCATGAATTACTTTTTGTCTACTTGTGAACATAGGACCCAATACAAAATAACGATGTTCCTGGTTGTAACGAGATAAAGTGAAACATCGGAGGGAAGGGGTGTGAATGCAATAATGTTTTAACATTCAGATTTTCTTATTTGTTTCTGGGAAACTTTTCTTCTCCATGTGGAGACATACTATCAGTAGGCCTCAAAGCAATTCTGGCAAACTGTCCACCTCCTCTGGAGGGGGGAGCGGTGCTTTGCTAACTCTGTTTTCAGCGGGGGTGGGGAGCTGCTGAACATTAATGAGGATATTGTTAGAGGATGGAAGGAATACTCTCAACCAGGATGGCATGCCTTCTATTGAGAAAGAAGAGACGTGTTCATCACCCAGGCTGAAGTCAAGTGGTGTTCAAAAAACGTCATGGTTGCAAAGCTTCACAGGCGGATGAGATCCGCTCTAACTCGGGTCGCAGGATATGTTTGGGGGGTGTCATCGCTGATATTCCTCTTCAGTATCCCGTGGTGGTATGGGACAGGGCCCCTAGATTAGCAGACTGGGGTGGGGGTTCCCTTCTGTAAGAAGGGGGACTGGGTAGTGTTCGAACTATAGGGGGATCCCACTCCACAGCCTCCCTGGGAAAGCATGTGCCAGGGTGCTGGAGATCTGGAAGATTGTGAGAAGTGTGGTTTTCTTGCTCTTCCCTTCCAAGCCAAAGGAAAGTTTCTGCCTCAAATGAGCTGGCTTAAGAATCTTGGCGTCCTGTTCATGATCAAACATTTCTACATGTCAAATGAACTGTTGGTTGCTGCTATTTTCCTCTAAAAGAAGCAGAATAACTCTGGAAAACATTTCCAAATGAGCTCTCCTTCTTTAGTCAAATCCTCAGCTTCTGTCTTTACCGCCATGATCTTTAACCCCAATCCTTAAGTTTTAAATGCAGCTCTTGTTTTATATATAATGCATCTAAAAATTGCACAGTCTGACCTGTGGTTTAACTTGCAGGGCTAATGACTGCGTTGGAAAAGAGCAAATATGTTTCTACACAGCTGCTTTGCACCAGTTGCAGCTCTGGAAACGCTGACAAAAGGATCGTAGAGACTTTGACACTCCTGACGTGTTTAAGACCCTCAGGACAGGCATCATGGAAAGTTATGTGGACTTTAAATGCTCTTTGTTATGATCCATACAAAGCTACAATATTTGGCAGACTTATAGGCTATGATAGATATAACATGATCTTTTATTATTTTACATTGCAAGCTTCCACTTAAACTTCATCAGACAGCCTGACTGATAAAGGGCTTTTGCTTCTTTAAACTCCTTCAAAAAAGGACAAATAGGAAAAAAGACTTGGATTAGTTTGCTGGAACTCTCACTGAGGACAAGAAAAGCATGAGTCAGCTGTTTCTTCAGTGTAGCATTTCACAGACTGCCCTTAAATTAGCGCTATGTTGGCTATTTTTCTCCTGAGAAATGAAAAATGTAACAGGTGCTGCTCTGACACGCCCACGATGTAGTTTTGTTCTAAATTGAGAGCATCTTCAGAAACATTTGTTCAAACTGATGGTGTTGGCTCTTAAAATGGGAGCCAATTGCTACGCCCCAAGTCATGTTAATGCCTATATAAGCTCTACAGCTAAATTAGTCAATATCTCCAAGCAGGATTAATTAAAATGACCTAGTAAGTTTTGTTAATGCAGCTGTGGTTATTGCACAGGCGTAACTTTCTGAAGGACTGGTATGGACATGTCCCCACCAATAATTTCAATAACTGGACTTTGGCAATGTTGCGGGACACATTTCTAAATTTGATTTTGCTGCTTTTGAAGGAGGATATTCACTAATGTAGCTGATAGGGAAAACATCCATCAATTTATCCACATTTTCCTGGGTTGATTGATGAATGGATGAATGAAACTGAAATAGTTTCCATACTAGGAAGACATAATATATGCTGTTGGCATCAGAATCGGCTGTTATTCATCCTTTTTTTTTATACATTAATGTCTACCTACCTATAAATATCAGTGTATTATGGTTCTTTTGTGTTCTCAACAATAGGAAAGCATTCAATAAATACATGATTCAGCTCATTTTTGGAAATTTTTCATTTGTGTAGAGTTACTATAGGTCCATCAGCTGCCACCCTTAGAGTGTCCCCACCGACTTTCATCACAAAGTTACACCCTTGCGTTATTGGTCTAAAATACGAAAGCAGCAGGAAAATAGCTTATAAATTCCACAACTGCATTGATTTCTCATTTGTAAATTTGAAATATTGGCCACTATAATGTGTTGCGTCTAAAAACATCTGTGTTGTGTGTCACCTATGACCGTAAAAAAAACTTTAAGGTGAACAGCCCTGGCTTTTGTCCAAACATTAAACAAAACCAGGAGGAATGTAGTTTTATTCCTTTCATTAATATTTTGATAATCATTTTGTGGTATTTGCTTGTTTTGAATTAGGATTTAGATTGATTTCAAGTAAAAAAAAAAAAAAAAAGTTAAAACCTATACAATGACACTCCATCTTACTACTGGATTTGATTGATTGATTTTATTGATCTCACAATGGAGAAATGTAGTCAAAAAGGTACATACGTTATTTACAGTGCGTCCACACACACACATATATGTATATATATATATATATATATATATATATATATATATATATATATATATATATATATATATATATATATATATATGGGGAATTAAATACTAATTGCACATTAGATGTTGCACAAGTTATTGCCGTTGCCATTGAAGTGGAAGTAGTTTCCTGTTCTCAGTTGTGTTATTTAAACAGAAACGTTGTGAAACTAACGCGGGTAGCAAAAACTTGTAGTTCAGCTATATCTTCCTGACATGAGCCCCTGCTGCTCTGTCACGTTTTCACCAGGCTTTTCTTTTTTTTCCTGTTTTTTCAGGCTCCACCTTTTTTACGTCGCAGGAAGCTGCACTCAAACGCACCTCAATAGATGTCCTTAATGTAATCAAGACCAGGATGGTTATCTTTTACAAAGGGTGTGGCAGTTTCTGCATGAACGACTCGGTTGATACGATTAGCATGATTAAAGCGATTTATTTTATTCACTGTTTACTTGCTAATTAACCCCCCTCCCTTTTTTTTTTTAACAAACAGCCCGGTTCAGCGGGTATGCGTGGAAATCTCAGCAAATAGTGTGAAACGGTAATTCCGGGAGGTTCTGGAATGTAAAATAAACGCTCCCTGAAACGCTCCTTTGAGTGGATGAGGGCGGAGTCAGTCCACGGAGAGGTGTAACTGCAGTGGGGGTGGAGGGGGGACTCCACGGATATACGAGGGTTTGGTTTGAGCCCGCTGCCAACAAGGAAGCGACCAGCTGGGAAAACACGGAGCAGGGACTGCAGCGTTTATTTTATCGACCCTAAAGTAACGGGATTTTATTTTCATTTTTCACATTCCGCTGTCTTGACGTCATCATGTCTTCCATGGACTTTGAGAAGCTGAAGATGACTGGAGCAGGTCGGGCCATAGCGGTGCTTACCAGCGGTGGAGATGCACAAGGTGACCTTAAAGCTCCTGATCTTCAGATGTTTGATGATTTCAGCCGTTGCTGAATGTGTGGATGTTAAACCGTGTTGCAGTGCAGATCTGACCCCCCCCTCAGAGGGTTTGTTTACACATGGAGGAGCTCATTTTCACCTTCACAGATATGAGCAGTGTCTATTCTTTTATGTTCAGAATTAGAATCTGGGCCAAATGTCGCAAAAGGTCAATTGTGGGTCAATTTCCTGCCGTTTATAACATTATATTAAAAAGTTAATGAGGTTCGGATATGGAGAGGGCTAAAGACGAGGCCCCCAAGAGGCCCTGTGTGGATTGACAGCCCATGCAATGAACTAGGCTAAGATCTTTGAAATAACCGCAAGTTCCAAGCTTCAACTCCTTTATTTTGAAATTTTATCTATGTTTGTTTTTATTCTTGTTGAAATATGATAACAAAACATTTATTCTTAGTTTTGAATTAAATGTCTCTATTAAATCATGTAAAGCAGATGCAGCAACAGAAGTGCAGTTACTTCTGCTGTGATGCAAAGCTTGGTATCAGCTTCAGTCTCTAATCCCAAATCTAATATGTCATTTTAAGCCTTAAAAAACACTTTTAATGCTGATTCATGGATTTTAATTATTGAACTCTAACTTAGTGATGCAGTGGGTAGCACTGCTGCCTTGCAGCAAGAAGGTTCCGGGTTCAATTCCCGGCTCAGGGTCTTTCTCTATGGAGTTTGCATGTTCTCCCTGAGCATGCATGGGTTCTCTCTGGGTACTCCGGCTTCCTCCCGCAGTCCGAAAACATGACTGTTAGATTTATTGGCTTCTCTAAATTCTCCTTAGGTGTGAGTGTGTGTGTGAATGGTTGTTTGTCCTGTTTGTCTCTGTGTTGCCCTGCGATGGACTGGCAACCTGTCTGTACCCCGCCTCTTGCCCTTAGACAGCTGAGGATGGGCACCAGCACCCTTCACCACCCCAATTGGGATTAAGCGTGTCAGAAGATGGATGGATGGAATTATTAAACTCTCAAAATTGTATATTTGTTTTATATTCAAATTATGACTGATTCTGAAGCTGACTTACTATTTTTATAGTTTTTTATGATGATTGTGATTTTTTTATTAGTTTAAACCTACTCACATCCACGCACTGCTACATATTTACCCTGAACATCTAAGAAGGTGTTGGGCAGTAGTTTATTTAGATTAACAGCAGTCTACCTGCTATACTGCTGTTAAGATTAACAGATTCTTTACATGCCAAGCAGTTGTTTTTCATAAGAAACTGTAGATTTCCTCTAAGGCATGACTTGAAGAGAGATCATCATGGCTGCTAGAACCTGTAAGGCCAGTGAATGTTTTTGAGCTTCTGGTGTTGGGTTACCTTGGGTCTAATGTCAGAAAATGGTCATCTGGTTGAGTAGAGATCCATAGAACTAGCTTTATTGTTACATAAGTTAAACAGAGGTACATTTTGATTATTTGTATATTAAATTTAAATGTTATTGGCCTTAAAACATGTCGTTTGTAACTGGCTGAAACAACTGTTGTCTGTAAAATTAGCCGTTTTAATGCTACTTTTCCTTGCTGTTTTCTGAGCTCCGTGTTTAATATGTGAATCTGTAGATTATCATCTAAATCACTGCAGATTTAAAAACAAACAGGCTGTCTTAGCAGCTATAGATATGGTTACAACTCAGAAGACTTGCTTTCCCTATGTTTATTCTAAATTCAGTGATAAAGAAAAAAAAATAATAAACAAACCAAGAGGTTTTTTTTTGCTGCAGAATAATCGCAGCCAACTCAAAGATTTGCTCACTCGATTACGTAATAATAGTGAAAGGCTTAAATGTGAGCACTTCTCCCCTCCCCACTTGCAACATGCTCAGTAAGCCTTATGTGTCATTATCTGCTGGAACAAATCTTGTCGGCAAATGGCACCTTTGCCCAATAACTGATAACGAGGTAAAATGCAGCTGCACACAGTTTGTTTTTCACATAAAAAATAAAAATAAAACAATGATGCAAAAGGCGGTGTGCAAATCAACTGAAGCTGGATGTCATTTAATTCTAACGGTGTGTGTCCCAGGTATGAACGCCGCTGTCCGAGCTGTGACCAGAATGGGCATTTATGTCGGGGCCAAGGTCTATCTCATCCATGAGGTAAATGAAGAGTTTTACGACCCGAGTGAATCTACACGCCGTCACTTCCTCTTTTATGGCTTGGCTGGGACTGATTGCAATGTTCTTGTGATATTTCAGGGATACGAAGGCTTAGTGGATGGAGGAGACAACATAAAGCTTGCCCACTGGCACAGTGTGACCAACATTATCCAGCTGGTGGGTTGAAAGGCAAATGCTCTGATGTTTCTATGTAAAACCAGGAAACTTCATATAATTTAGCTATACTAGATCCTCTTTAGATCTTTCAGGTTCAGATTTAAAAATAGACACATTTATTTTTTCATTAGTATATAATGTTTGCTCTAGAAAAAAAACAATGAAATCTTCAGCCCACTCTGATGCGGTACGTTAGGGTCTAGACATCATCTGGCAGTTCTGCTGACATCTTGTCTTCATGCTTGTTTTTATTGTGCACATTCAATAGTTTTGAAAAACAGCTGTTTATAGTAAAAGCAAATATTTTGCTACAATTAAACAGTAAAATGAAGCCTAAGCGAAGCCACATTTTGCAGCAATATTTTCAGAGATTTCATTGTTTTTTTTTAACCTTTGCTGCACTAGATGCTAATTCATCAATCCGTGCCTCCAAAACAAGCCTGAGCTTGTCTGATAGAAAACCCTGTTAGTAAAAAAACAAAGTAATAAAAGTGATGGGTGGTGCTCCAGTAGGTTGCTATTGTAACTGGAAATAGTTCCAAAGAGTTTCATTAAACTGTTTTGCAAGTGATGGGGGGGGGGGGGTAGTAGTCGTTGTTTAGTCTTCTTTTTTCCGGCTGGTTGGTGGTTTTTTGCTGCTTTTTTTGGAGGACAATCATGCGGGTCGTGATTTAAAAGACATGATGTAAAAATGGGTGGCTCATGGGCGTCTTTTTGTTGCTGTTCCAGTCAGGTTGATCCCTTTCTGTTTAGTTAAGAAACAACAAAAGTTATTTAAAATTCGGCCTAAACAAAGGTGAGGTTAGCTCATCATTTATCAATATCACTCATCATTAGAAGAGTGCATATTCTTTGATAATATTTGTCCTCCCTCTTTTACGTTTCATGATCTCACAGTGCTAATCTTTCACTGTCACAATAGCTGATGAAATAAATATGTGATCCCGCCTTTCGTTTTAGCAGCAGATCATTTGTTTTGGTTGGTTTTCACTGCTGTCTGTGCTGCAGGGGGGCACGGTAATTGGCAGCGCCCGCTGCAAGTCATTCCAGACGCGTGAGGGCCGCATCGCAGCCGCCTTCAACCTGGTGAAGAAGGGCATCACCAACCTGTGTGTGTGCGGTGGAGACGGCAGCCTGACGGGAGCCAATATCTTCCGCTCCGAGTGGAGCGGCCTGCTGGATGAGCTCGTGCAGAAAGGTCAGCTCCTCACAGGGATCTGCTGAAGTTGCTGTTTTTAATCAGGATGTCTGATCAATCTACTGTTCATGCCATCACCGCTGCTGTATAATTAGTTTTAAAGAGGAAATGACATCTGTGGATGTTCAGGGAGGATCACAGACACGCTGGCGAAGCAGCACAACAACCTGAACATTGTGGGACTCGTGGGATCAATAGACAACGACTTCTGCGGCACTGACATGACCATCGGGGCTGATTCTGCACTGCATCGTATCATGGAGATAGTCGACGCCATCATGACCACAGCGAACAGGTCCGACTCAATAAACAGCTGTACTGTGATGCATAAAAGCTCTTATTTATTACAGCTTACATGTGGTTTATTACGGTTTTATGTCCCCAAATATCAGGAAGTTAATATTGTAGTAATTAGGACCTAGATGAAAAGGGATGCAAGGTTTTTTATTTATTTATTTTTTTTAATTATCCATAAACTGTGTCAGGTATCTGTTTTCAGCACCTTTATCAAGATACTTTCCAGTAATACGCCTTTTGCATTTGTCTCCACCTGCTTTACTCAGTTAAAAAATGCAATTTTTTTAACCATAGCTAAAACTCTTTCCAAGCAAGAATCTTTCGACTTGCATGCTCTTTGTTATGTCTTACAGTAAACTAACTCGGATCCCTAAACTCGCCCTCTCTACAGCGAAATACGGTCATGGCGGCATCATGCTTAGTGATGGTTTTCTTAACCAGGGACAAGGAAGTTAGTGATAATTAATGGGAAGATGGGTGGAGCCGAATACAGATCAGTCCTGCAAAAAACATGGCAGCTAATTGATCGTGCTGCTTGCCACCTTTTTCTTAGTAGTTTTATGATGTAAACAACTTATGTTTTCCACCTTATAATAATGTGATGCTTTGTCTATCAGATAAAAACACCGTTAGATCTATTTGCGGTAATCTGATAGATCCTAAAATGTGTAGAGGATGTACATATTTTAATACGATACCGTTTGCTGTGCTATATATATCATTTTCAATATTCACAGTTTATTTTGAATTCAGGAAAACAATATAGATCTGTTTCCTATTGGTAGTAAATAGGTTCTCTGAATCAGACATACTGTAATTTTCGGACTATAAGCCACGACTTTTCACCCATTTTTCGACCTTGCGGCTTATATAACAATGAGGTTATCTATGGACTTTTACAGCTAACGGCCACTAGGGTAATACCTAAATCTATGGATTTTACCATCCACCATGTTGACGTCACATTTCCTTCAACACACAAGTACGGTAGCCTCGTGCCCGGGAATGCGGAGGTCCTCCGGAAGCAGACTTCTACCGCAAGCGGTACGAGACGGAACGACAGCGAGAAACACGGACGTTGCAAGCGCGCAATTTAGCTTCTGCGGCTTATATTGAGATGCGGCTAATACTCAGAAAATTACGGTAGTTCATCCAAGCAGTTATGGTGAAATCAGTGACTAATTTAGACTCAATCACATTTAAATGAAGCAACCAAAGGCAGTTAGAAACAATTTTAACGGTTTTAGTTGAACCAGAAATTGTATCACCTGCTGTTTGCACAACTATTTCACAGACCAGCCTCTTAACAGACACAAACATCAGATTTAATGTTTAAAACAATAGTTTTTCTTTTTTTATTATTATTTTAAATGTAGACTGTTACCTACATCCAGCTTCCAACCTAAGAGCATGAATCATGATTTAAAAAAAATATATTTAATGTTAAAAGAATGTGATGATAAAACACGTTTTTTCTCTGCGTAATAGAGCTTCAGGTCTGCCAGGTACAGTAAGACTGTTACTTAATGCGTTTGTGTTTAGGGCCCCTAGCGATGTAAACTCAGCAGATGGTATTTTCCAAAACTTGTCCAGACTTGCTCGCAGTTTTTCTTTGTTTTGATTTTTTAAAATGTTTTAATGCTACTTTACTTTTTCCCTCCTGCAGCCACCAGCGCACCTTTGTTCTGGAAGTCATGGGTCGCCACTGTGGGTGAGTAAGCCGTAGATTATTCACTGTTCTTCTCTATGCAGTGGTATTAATTGGTGTGTTTTGGCTGAAGGTATCTGGCCCTGGTGTCAGCTTTAGCATCTGGAGCAGACTGGCTCTTCATTCCAGAGGCTCCTCCGCTGGAGGGCTGGGAGGACCGCATGTGTGCTCGTCTGGAAAGGGTACGGCATCCACACACAGAAATAACCCAGATTTCACCGTAGGACCCTTACTCACAATGCCTGAAGGTTAATCTAAGCACCATGCTTGTGCTTTTTGACTTTTTAAAAATATTTTTTCTTTTTCTTTCAGAGCCGAAACAAGGGGTCAAGACTCAACATCATAATTATTGCAGAGGGAGCCATTGACTCAAATGGAAAACCGATCTCTTCAGCTTATCTTAAAGATGTGAGTTCTTTGTTTTACAGACTGAATAACTCTGAAAATGACTTTCTGAAAGAAAGGGGCATGCTAGTCAACATTAATAGTCCTGCTCCTGCTATAGGACTGTTCCTTAGTGCATTTACATTTCTTTGTACTTCATTGTAAAATGAAATGGGTGATTTACTGATATATTTGTACATATGTTTAAAGCTGGTGGTGAAGAGGTTGGGCTATGACACCAGAGTGACGGTGCTGGGTCACGTTCAGCGAGGAGGAACTCCGTCTGCATTTGACAGAATCCTGGTGAGCGGCACTTGAAAAAAAGTGTTCTTTTATTTGGTAATATTACAGCATTTGGAACTTATTTGTTCGTCTTAAACCTGTTGAATTTGTCTTTTAGAATTTGAACACCTATGTACCTTTTTACCCTTTATATATTGGCCTTTTGGTTTGGCTAAATGCAGAAACAAAATGCCATTATGATTGTTAACATAGAGCTGTAGGTTCTTCTGCTGATTATAGAAGCTTTTGTTTGAATTCAGATGTCCAGTTTAGAGCGGAGGTCTTCAACTGGGGGTCCGTGACCCCTAGGGGGCCCACGGAGGTCCTGCATGGGGGTCACAAAAGATTTGGTGGATTAGAGTTTTTTTCTTTTTTTTTTTTAATATTCCCCCCTGCAATTTTTTTTCCACTAAGTGAAATGCCTTTAAATCCACATTAAGAATTCAAAACACAGTAGTAAACAGATAAACGGAGGCAGAAGATGTCTTTCAGTCATCAATGCACACATTCAGCGACACGCAGGAGCTCTTTCAAGCTGGGCACCGTTTCATTCACAACACCTGTCCCATCAACCAGGAATCAGAATCAGAAATACTTTTATAATCCCAGGGAGAAATTACTTTTTTTACATGACTCCATCTGTAATAGAGTGACTATAGGACCAGTTTGATATAACACTATTTCATATAATATAATTAGGGGGTCCCTGCTCCATCTCACTATCAGTTTGGGGGTCCTTTGCCTGACAAACGTTAAAGACCCGTGGTTTAGAGTATTATTGCTGTTTCTGCATCAATGCACACTTCCTAAACCTTTTTTTTTATAAACTCATTGAAGAGCATGCTGTTTTTTTATACTTAATTTTTTAGCAGGGCACCTTACAGTCAGCTGTATTCAAGTAAGAATACAATGAAGAAAAAAATGTTAACATGAAATAAACATCTCTGCAAAGCATTCTGCAGATTCATGTGGTTTCAGCATTACCATATATCCTAAAAGTAATTTCTTTTGGAAGGTAGTGCTGGTTTTACAAGCCAAAGTCCACTTATTGTACCTTTTTATATTATTAATACCGCTTAACCCCAGCATAAAATAAAGGTAGTCATTTGGAGTGATGGTCCATTTGGTAGACTTTCCTTACATTTTGGGATCGTGGTTCTAATTGCATCCAAAGAATTGTAATACATTTCAGGGCTGCTGGGTGGAAAACATTTAAAAAATATAATTTATCTTGTCCTTGCACAGTATTGGGTATAATACAGAGTACTAAAATGTTATATTCTTTTGTATATTCTCTTCAAAAATCTGGTTTATACCCAGAGATATTAGAAAAAACATTCAGCTTTAGACTAAAGAACACAATTAAGAAAATTAACAAGGCGATAATGTGATAAAGCCGGTTCCATCATAAATTTCTCATTAAATATTGTCTTTTTTTGTTAAATATACTAAGTAAATATTCTTATGGTTGTAGATGATCAGTTTTTCAGCCCCTATCTCTGAGGGCTTTCTATTAAATGCTGGTTAGATTGGAGGTTTTGTTTGCTCTCCCCTATTTATAGAAGTCTGAACGTCTTGCCTGACAGGACTGTGTATACAACATCAGTCTGTTTATGAAACCACAGGGGCAATGATCAGGGCAACATTGAACGCTGCCTGCCCTGCTCAGGCCACTATTTAAACAAAAGTTCAAGTGAATGTAAAAATAGATAAGTTTGTATTCCTGATTGGATTTAAATCTGACTTTAATCTTGAGTTAATATGGACCAAACTGAGCTGTATATAATTAAAAGTGAATTTGACCTGTTTGTCCTAAAAACAGTGTTCATACAATATAAATAACTTGTATAAAATCCATACACTGATTATAATGGAAACTTTCATAATGTCTACTCTAATCTTCACTCCTTTTAATCCAGTTATCCTCAGGCATCTTAAATTTCATCTTGTTTATAACCATTGTGTTCCTCTTTGTGTGGGTGTGTGTATGCAGAGCACCAAGCTGGGTGTGGAGGCAGTTATTGCCCTGATGGAGGCCACCTCAGACACCCCACCCTGTGTCATCGGCCTCTCTGGCAACCATGCCATCCGTCTGCCTCTCATGGAGTGTGTGGACATGGTGAGCGTCTTCTCTCTGGTGGCATTGACTAAAATGGATGGTAATCATGTGCTATAGTGGGGGGGCTAAGCATTTTTAATGTATTTATGTTTTCTAACTAAACTTTATGCAGACCAAGTTGGTGCAGAAGGCCATGAATGAGAAGAGATTTGATGAAGCTGTTAAACTTCGCGGAGGGTAAGAACTGATAATTACACTGGATTGTACAGTTTTACATTACTTTTAATTCATTACTCAGTGATGTTTTGAAGTGTATTTTCTGAAGATGGAGATTTTTAGAACCACATCTTTTATACATCTATCCTATAACCAGCTCTGAAATTGGACTAAATTGGGGCCGTAATGTTTCTCAAAAACAAAACAAAAATATTAAAATAAAAAGAAGTTTGTTGGAAAAATAAAATTTCTCTGGCAAAATAAGTATGCTTGGTCCTGGAATAAACATTTTTAAAAGAAAAAATATATATATTCTTGGAAATAAAAAGTTAAGTGGAAAAAAAAATTAAACCCTGAAAAAGGTTTTTTTTGTTGTTTTTAAAGCAAAAACTACTTTTCAGATTCAAACTTGATTTTTTTTCAAAACTTTTTTTTGTTCTTAGGTTTCACTTTTTTTCTTCACTGTTTCTCAGTAGTTCAATGTTCTCTTTCCAGAAACAATTTGAATTTCATGTGGCACTAAAAGTCAAATTAATAAATCAGAACGAAGTAGTTGGTAACTGGGGGTTAAGTTCCTTGTCAAAGGGCACATCTGCATATTTCAGGGCAGGAAGGTGAAATCTAAGCCATAACTTAGTTAATCTCTCTCCAACCAAATGATCTCAGTACGGCTGTGTCTGGTTGGACAGTAGCCGGGCCTTAATATAATCTGACTTCTGTTTCTGTAGGAGTTTTGAGAACAACTGGAACATCTATAAGCTGCTGGCCTTCCCAAAGCCTGTCACTGCTGAGGTTAGTTCGTCACACTGTAGCTTTAACTCATGGTTGTTTATCTTTGAATATGGAAACCGTCTCAGATCATAATGTCTGTCTGACACGGCCTCTCTTGGCTCAGAGTAACTACGCTGTGGCCATCCTGAACGTCGGAGCTCCAGCTGGAGGCATGAACGCAGCAGTCAGGTCAGCTGTGAGAGTTGCTCTTGCTCATGGACACAAGGTCTATGGTGTCCATGATGGCTTTGAAGGACTCGCCAATGGATCAGTGAGGATGTCTTTTATTATTTTTGTTTGTTTGTTTTGGCTAAATTTGAACAGTTGCAGATAATTTCAAACAAACTGTTGTCCTACAGATATTTGAAATGAAATGGCACAATGTGGCTGGATGGACGGGCCAAGGAGGTTCACTCCTGGGGACAAAGCGGTAAAAGAGAAATGCTACTTTCTGTCTCATTGTCTAAGAGTTAAATATATTATTGGGCAAACTATAGACTTCAGGTAATATTTATTTCCTTTCTGTTTTTATTTGTATGCCTTTCTCAGAACTCGTCCTGCTACATGTATGGAAAAAATTATAGAGAATATCAACAAGTACAGCATCACAGCCCTGCTTGTAATCGGAGGGTTTGAGGTATTGTACTAAAGACTCCTTTTTGCACCTGTGAATATTATATGTTAAAGACTTCAGAGTTACAAATTGGTTGTTGAATTCAAAGGGATATGAAGGTGTGCTGCAGCTGTATGAAGCCCGGAGCCACTACGATGAGCTCTGCATCCCCATGTGTGTCGTACCGGCCACCATCAGCAACAACGTCCCTGGAACGGACTTCAGTCTGGGAGCGGACACTGCTGTTAATGCTGCCATGGAGGTACGTCTGAGCCAAGACTGATCAGCTAAAGGTTCACCTTCCTACTGAATCACACAAATTATAGGCAGATAGATTAGACTTTAAACTCCTCACGTTTATTGGTAGAGTCATTGAAAGCCTTGAATTAAGTTAATCTTTTTTTGTAGTGGCATAATCTCACACAAAAAAAAAATTTATTTGATATATTAATCTGTGGGGAAACACTTCTAATAATCCATTTTAAAGTAAATAAAGTCAAGTAATTAAACATTTTACTTAATTGGGACACATTTAATTTGCCATGAAAGGCTTCCAAGGTACTTTGTTAGCACGCTGCAGAGAATCCATGGATCAGGAGTCATCAAGTTTCTATAACCATTAAACAGTGCAGACACATAAATAAGACTTCTGTCAGAAATGCAAACTTCTGTAGTTTAGCTAAGCGCTTTGGCAGTATTAGATAAATACTGAGCTTTTGCTCCACCACTTGGCCATATGGCACCCCAGGTTTTATCAACAAATCTTCCAAGCGTCGGGTTTGAACTAAGCAGAGAATGTGAGGAAAAGTACTTCCTGTCTGCTGTAGTGTACAGATCTGTAATGCTCTGATAACTAAATGGCTTTTGGAGGCTTTCAGGTGCCTTCACATTTCAATGGATGGCCTGGTTGATACAGTAAAGAGAAAAGTGAGAGATCACTTTCTACAGACAATGAGACACACAGTTCAGAAGACACTAAATGTGCAATACTTCTACAGCCTCTGTCACACAGATCTTAATCATATAGTTAACCAAAAAAGAAAGGAAAATCTATTTAGATGTGTAAGGAGGGATGGTTAAAGATCCTTCTATTGATTTGTCTAATAAAAATGTATCTGAGTTTGGAAAACACCCCCACTTAGGTTAAAGTTTTGCTGCTTAACCTTTGACCTTAAGTATTGGCTTAATTTGGGATGTATTGAATGATTTTTAGGTCAACACACAGACCCAGCTCTTCTCAAAAAATCTGCTGGATCAGTCATGTGACCTAAGCACCACTTTACTGCATTTTGAGGAGCCTTTGACTACAACTGTGCTAAAAGTTGTAATCAGCCAAACAGATCTGTCACTTAGCTAATTAGACATATTTTCAGTTCTCTGATACAGGATTTAATCTAGTGCAGTGAATGTTTCTTTGTCTTCACTAGTAGGTCTATGGCTTCTCAATCTGCGGGTCCAAAGTGCTCTGCTATCAGTTTCTAAAACATGGAGGGCGATGTTTGATTTTTACACCACTAAACCTGGGAGTTACTAATCTAAAACCCCCCTACTGAATAAATGTCACTCAATCTTGCTTTAAAATTGTGATTTTTCTACTCTATTTTTCTGTATTAAGTATTTTTGTTCCAACCATTTACAGGCTAAAAGACAGAAAGTCTATTCTCTGGGAAAACGTTATTTGAGTAAATTGGTCTCATTTTAACTTGTTCTTCAGGGATGTGACAAGATCAAGCAGTCTGCCTCTGGGACCAAAAGGCGAGTGTTCGTGGTGGAGACGATGGGCGGATACTGTGGTTACCTGGCAACCTCAACTGCTATCGCCGTGGGTGCGGATGCTGCCTACATATTTGAAGAGCCGTTCAACATCCATGACCTCAAGGTGAGGCTGAGATGAAAACAAAACCCTTTTCTCTGAGTTTTTTTTTCCTGTTAGTTTAATGTATCTTCTCTCAATGTGTCCTGTCGATAGACCAATGTGGAGCATTTGGCTGAAAAGATGAAGAAGGACATCCAGAGAGGTCTGGTACTACGGTGTGTAACATCTTGTGGTTTCCTGTTTTTCAGTATATTGCTGTTTGGTTCAGAAACCCAGACTGAGGATGTTTTACTGGCCTCAGCAAGTGATGCATTCAGCACAGTGCAGTTTAGGCAGAACGCTTTAACAAGCTGGACTTGTTTACGTATGAGCCGTTTCTAGCTCGCCTCCTCTTGTCATTAGATTTTACTTTTGCAAAATGTTTTTTTAAATACACTAAAATGCTCAATTTCTGCCAGGTTCTGAAGTTACAGTTAGGACTTTCTACAACCTTCATTAGACATCTGCGTTGCCTTTAAGACTTTACGCAGTGTAAAGATGATTTTCATGTATTATTTCAATTATTCTTTATAATGTTCGCATAACTAAAAGTTAAGACAAACATTGTCAAATCTAGAAACATTTAAAATCTTTAAAGGAAATCACTTTGATTATCTAGACTGAGAAGAACTCCTTTAAATAGTGTTCAGTTAAATATAAAGTTCTCATTTTATAATTGTCTGGATCTTTTGTGATTACATAAACATTAAGTGGGATTTAACCACTGAGTTATCTATTAACAGTTGTCCTCTTGTGGTCAGTCAGTGTGATGAATCTCAGTGGGGACACACTCTAAAGGCTGTGTTTATTAGTAGGCAGGCATGCGTACATTAATGACATGTTTATTAGCTTTATTTTCTATGATATTTGCTAAAGACTAAAGGAAAGTGGTGATTTACAGGTTGTCTCTGAGTTAGTGTTTTTTCTTTTTTTTCCAAACTAAGTTTTTAAAGTATTTGTAGTTTAGATTCACCTCGGAAATACAATGACATGATTGTGTAATAACTTAATACTTCTGTTCATCTTCAAACCAGGAACGAGTATTGCCACAAGAACTACACTACGGATTTTATTTATAGGCTGTATTCAGAGGAAGGGAAGGGCGTCTTCGACTGCAGGGTTAATGTCTTGGGACACCTCCAGCAGGTATAGTATTTAAAATTAAATACCATGGCTTTATTGTGGAGGATATATTCCTTATATACCACATTTACCTGATGTAATAAACAAGACCACTAGGAGAAAAAGGCCCCAACACTTTTAAAATGCTCTCAACTTATCCCTCCCATGAATTATAACCAACCAAAGCGAAAATATTTTTGATCTTTACCTTTTTTAATCTTTATAAGGTGCATAAACTTTGTTTCCAAATCTTCCACAGTTTCTCAGTATTTTTCCAAATAGTGCTAAGCTATAAAGCCATGGTTTTTATTTTTCCAAATGTTGTGCTAAGCTGCTGGCACACTGTTTATTAAACTAAATTTGTTGATTTGACACGATGCATGTTTGGGGTCAACTGTATCTTGTGTGTTATTGCTGCAGGGAGGAGCTCCTTCTCCCTTCGATCGGAATTTTGGCACCAAGTTGGGTGTGAGGGCAATCCAGTGGATATCAGAGAGGTTGACTGAAAACTACAGACAAGGTAGGGTCTCCCTGTATTAACAGAAACTGCTCAAGCTTCCTGAATATATGTGCCAATGAGAGTGATTTTTTTTTTAATTTTCATTTCTTACTCCAGGCCGCGTGTTCGCCAACTCCCCGGACACAGCGTGTGTGCTCGGCCTGAACAGGAAGATCGTCTCATTCATTCCTGTGACTGACTTAAAGGCCATCACCGATTTTGAGTAAGTAGTAGAAAAATCAAAACCGGCTGTTTGTGTTAAAAACTTTAAGCCTAACCATTTCTATGTATTTATTTTTTTTAAGGCACCGGATGCCCAAGATTCAGTGGTGGTTCAATCTGAGGCCGATGCTGAAGATGTTGGCGAGGTATCAAACTAATTTCGAGGAATATGTCCCTGGAGAGATGGCCCATGTGACTCGACGCTCCATCAGCATCGATGCTGGATACTAGGCTTTCTGACAAATGCTTCTGTATGCAGTTTTTAACCTTTACATTTCCCTCCTTCGTCCCATTTTCACTCATAACTGTGGTGCCTAAAAGCGTGGTGTATAAAATTCCTCTGAACAAAATGGCCTTTTCTGCACCAACATGGGGTTTTTACCTTTTTTATTCTGCTCCATCCGAATCCCATCTGCCTTAACTTTACCCAAGAAACAAGGACTCCTTTCTCCTATCATACTGGTAGATTTTTGTGCTAAGCTGCTGGCATACTGTTTATTATCCTGCCATACATGTTAGCTTATCTTAAAATACTTAATATAAATCCAAGAGTGAAAACATTAAGCCAATTCTGTGAAATTCAAACAACACTGTGATGTGAATCATGTCAATGTGTCCCTGTACCATATTTTGAAAACTGGGAATAAGGTTGTAAAATCAACACTGTTCCTGTGTCAAACGGAACACATTAATAATTTCTACCATGTAATGATCAGCTCACCATCTCAGGCCTAAAGTTTGATTCCTGAGTAGATCAGATGTTTAAATGAGTTCAAATGAATTGGGTGATTAAATCTGTAAATAAGGCCATGTGTTCTGCCTAACCCTCAGCATGCCTGGGTGAGTTGGTCGCTACAGACAGTGCCTTTGTAAAGCATAGCATGAGATCAGGTACCATTATCACAGTATAGCTGCAGAATTTACATTAGTGCAGTTTTTAAATATTAAATTGATACAGCGTATCTTGATAAAACCACTCAAATACAAGGCAGGTAAAATGTGTGATAGAATCAGATTATCTAAGGCGTAGCACAGCGGCTCTGAGAATCCAGTTCCTGTTTCTCTAAAGTCAACGCTTTACCCGCTGAAGCTCAGTCACCTTCCTCTTGAGTGAACATGGGACTTTCTAACGTTTGATACCACTAATCAGTGTCATGCTAACTGCTAAACATCAAGTAACAAAACTGATTACCAGTATTCATTTATTGACTGACACGTTTAATACAGAGAAATTTTGTACTTCCTCCAAGGTGCTCGGAACAATTTTTTTCCTACACAAATTGCTGCTATAATCCAGACAACCAGAGGTGCCACAGACCAAAGTTTTACAGGATATTTATCAAAAATTGTGCATGCAAAAAAAAAAAATGAATGTAGATGCTGTTAGGTGGATTTTTTTTTTAATGTTTAAAACCACAGAATGAAACTGCATAAATTCTGAGCCATAAAGCATGTAAGCAGGAGCGTTCAGTAAAGAAATCATCCTGGTAATGTTTTAACATGTCATTCCTGGAAAAAAAAACACATTTTACAAGTTTTCTGTGTTTCATCTGAATATATTATGTGACTCATGTGACTGTGCAACTCAAGGGACCGTTTAAGATGTTAATTTTTCTGTTTTTATAGATATATATGTATATTGTGTGTGTGTGTGACTGAAACAATATATATCTAGTATTAATTCAAATCAACAGCCATTTCTTAACTGATCAACAAACACTTTGTTACACTATAAATGATGTAAAATTCACACCTACTGTACCTTAAGAGAAATCTTTAAAGACAAATGAACCTTTGGTGTTTTTAAAGTTGATAATGATGGTGTGTCTATCCAGGTATCTGTTATTACATAGACCTTGTGTAATTTACCCAATTAAACCTTAATATTAAACATCTGATTCAGGAACTAACATCACTGCCAACTAAACAACACAAGGAAATAAACAGAAACCTAATAAAATATTTGAATGTTTTTCTTGTATATTTCTTAGAAGTTGAATGAGAAGGGAAAATCTTTTTTGGAGTTCTCCTTGGGTGACTGAGGACTTTTTGATGTAAAAGCAAACGGAAAGTCTTCACTTTGCTCCGCTGCGTTAAACAGGAACTCGTTACCTGCAGGTTCACATACAGAGGCATGTCAGAAAAGTTCATTCGTTTTACCTGTATAGTTCAGGAGGTTAAACATGCATGAATTTGATAGACACTGGTATATTCTGATGGTTGTGGTTTCCAGATGGTAAAACCAAACCATTTTGTTTTCTCAGATAATTTCTTGACTGTTAACCTCTACAAGGATGAAAAGCAACAAAAGGTCTCCGATAAACAGGCTGTTGTATCTTTAGTATTTTAAATAAGGGTTTTCTTGAAGGAAAGCTGGTAGAACTTAACCTGACAACAGCCAGATGCATGTCTCGCTGAGCTAGGCGGAGCGAGACATGCATCTGGCTGTTGTCAGGTTAGGTAGAACTAATGAGTGACCAACATAATGGCTGCATTTGGACAATTTGAAAGCAAAATGCAGGATTAGGACATTAACATCCTGGCTAAAGAGAAAATAGACTAAGTTTGAAATCCTCTTTTTAGATAAAATTTGGATTTTCATTTTAAAAGATGTCTGATCAGTGAGGATATCATTGAAAATTCACACTGAACCAAATGGTCTAGCCAAAATAAATTTAAATAACGGTTTAAGCTTTTAAAATTAAGTATTGAAAAGAACTTTTCTCTGATGATCTAATTCACTGAGATGCACCTGTAAAGGTAATATAAAGAGAAAACAGCATATGAACATATACTTACTGCCTGTTGGTTTAGATTCTGATGCTTTCTGTAAACAAATTGACAGCCTTTAGCATATTTGCTCCAGCTGTAGGATTGTTCTATAAACTTTTTAGTATAAAGCTCACCTTCTCGTTGAAAAAAGAGCCAGAAAACCCAAAAGATGACTCCTGCAATGACATCTAGAGTGAACTTCAAAACCAAGGAATGATCTCTGTAAGATTTAAAAAAATGTTTTGCAAACTCCCTACCTCCTCTTGGGATGAGCCCATATCAAATCCAAATCCCGGAAATGCTGGGGTGCTATCGTTGGAGTTCAAATTGAGCACAAAAGCTGGAGATTTGGAATCAGCTCTGCCTTGGCAAGGAGAGCTGGTGGGAGTGAAGCTAAAACAACAGATAAACGGTCTCAGGTTCTGTTAACAACTGGCTTTAAAGCCTCCAAGAAATCGGAAAATCTTACTTGAATGTAAACGGAGTTGAGGAAACGGATGTTTCTTTTGTAGAGAGAGGTTCTAGGTTGGCTTCCATAGAAGTGTGAGGAAAATCGTAGACTCCTTGATGTTCCTCGGCATCGGAGGCTTCACCCTGCAGGTCATCTGTTGGGACAGCCTCTAGAACTGGTGAAGTGGGAAGCTGCAGCTTGTAACAGAAAGAGTAAAAACATATTTAGACAGAGTGGATCACAAAACAACACACAATTGCTAAAGGATGTGAAGAAAAACACCCGAATTAAAATAATGTATTCTTGTTAATGTTAAATCGCTTAGACTCAATCAGGAAACAAATAGAGCTACATGTTCCTCTTGAATGATGCTGTAAAAAAAAATATTTTCTGTAAATCTGCTTAAGCTGCTCTGCTAGTACTCTTTAGTCCACCCCCTCATGTGGCAGATGGTGCTCTGGTCATATGAGATCAGCACTATTTGGCCTGTATCCTCTAATCAAACCAACCCTACTGGTAAACATGTGGTAGCAGCATCATGCTAAGATTATTCACCTTAGTAGGAATAGGAAAGCTGGATATAGTTAATAGGAAGATTAATAGAGCTAAATACAGAGCATTCAGGTAGGTGGTTGCACATATTGATGTTAGATTTTCCCATTCAAAGTCAATATATATGGTTGCTCCCCATATAAATATATTTGTCATCCTTTGCAAATAAGGTGCTGGAGATAAACCTCAAAAGACATGCAGCTTATACTTCAAAGACATGCATCAAATCATAAATTCAACCCTTGAGTTAAATCAATAAAAGGAGACCCAGTTTTCCAGGTTGTTGCAGCTGCAAAACAGCCACAGTGGCAGCAGCTTTCTCATTAGCTCAACATCCTCTTGACTTGTGAGCAAGAAAATCATGATATCAAGTTCTACTACACTGAAAAGATGCATATTTTTTGTGGAAGGAAGCAAATTTAGAATGCTGCTCCATCATTAGCAGGGATGATGATGATGATGATGATGATGATGATGCAAAGCTGCCTTTGATTTACCTACTTTAGAGGGGTTATTGTAGCAGTTTACCTGTAATTTTCAACGTATATATATATACACACATATATAATATTTATATCTCAATCAACAATCAACAACATTCATTTTTGCAATTAATATTGGGGAAACGATGAATATGGGAAACTATGCCTTTTAAAAATCAGTTACTTAATAACTAACTTGGTTAAAAGTCTTCTAAAACCTAATAATACAGTGACTTGATCAAAAGTTAACAAAAAGAGACTGAAACCTGTTCCTCTTGTGAAAGTTCTTGATCTTCTGCCGCAGCGTGCAACTCTTCAGATGGATCTAACTCTGAGAAAAAAACAAAAACATGTAATTAAAAGTTCATATGTAAGGATTTTCTTGAAGCTAAATCATCTGGAATTGGAACTTATTCATATTTTTAGGGCATCTTTCACCATCTGACTGCTGATGAGAAATCTGCTCTTCATTTGTCTGCTCAGGGGCAGTAAGGTAGCTGATGGAATCCTGGACTTTGTTTTCCTCATTCATCTCCTCTGTGGTTGCTTCTTTGGTAGGTTCAGGGCTACCCTGTAAAAGCAAACTCAGGATTGATATAGTTTTAGAGAGCAAAAGCTCCTTTACATTACCTTTATATTAGCGGTTCTAAAAAGTGAAATGGATGAAGTACAGCTGTTTGGTTGAGATCAATAGATGAGATGTCAATGGAGCAGTCCTCCCTTTGCTGCTCAGGTTGTTCTTCTGCCATTGGCGGTTGGTCTAAAACACTACACAGAGATTATAACTGAATTAGTATAAAAAGCTTTGAAAGATTTTTTTTATTATTATTTTTTGCAGGAATTTGCAAACCAAACCTGTCTGGCAGCTTCTCTAAGGGATAAGACATCACAGGTGGACCTGTTCAGAAACAATTATTGGTTTAAGAGCTGTAAAGATTTGAGTTGAACCAGAGCAAAGCAGAATAACCATTACCATTAAGATGTTCCAGCTCCTTCTGTTTCATCATCATGTGGTCGTCACAGTCTCTAATTCTGCTCTCAATTTCCTGAATCTCGGCTTGCAGCAGGAGGAGCTTCTGAGCGGCAGGGTTTTGGAAATAGGCTTCTTTGTGTGACTGCAGTGTCTCTATGTAGCTTGCAATCCTCTCTTCGTAGGCCTCCCTAGTTGGTGCCCAAATCAGCAACTCATTTCCGTACCTTTACATGCACTGGCAATAGATAAAGTGACACAACAACCTACTGGTCATGGTTGTAGCTCTTTTGTCTACTCTCCAGTTCTGCTTTCAGTGTCTGTTCATACTGAAGGAGCAGGTTGTTGGTCGTCTTCATGCTGCAGTGTCATAAATTACAGAAACATAATTAAAAAAAAGTCTCACTACATTATAACTATTATTAAAACAATATCTGATCATGGTTGACCTTCATTGCTGTACCTTTTTGCCTTTTCTTTATTCCACTTTATAGCGATCTGCTTTACTTGTATTTCCTCTTCTAGATTCTTGATATCTTGTTTCATCTTTTCAATGTGAGACTTCTTCTCAGTAATGCAAGTTCTGTACACTGTTAAAAGAAAAACCCAATACCTGTTTTACTATATTTCAAAAGATAATGTCTGAGGAAGGTCTGCTCAGTGAGGATATCATTGAACACTCCCACTGAATCAAACACTCTAGCCAAAATATTACATTTAATTGGGACCATCTAGCATAATCATAATACATTTCAACAGAACACAATGCTACACATCTGTTGGGCCATAAACCATGATAATAATTTTCGACATGGACCAATGTCCATGCTGATATTGACTGCAATCATGGGTGTAAGAGCATGCAGTTTGCTCTCTTGTGGATAAGTGGACCTGGTGGCTAACTTCTGAACTAAATTGCTGCAAAAACAGACTTGTACAATGCTTCTCTCTGACATTACAGGAAACTTTGAGATGCCAGAAACTGGAGAAGGGAAGCATCCAAAGACAAAGGACTGCTTTCCTGCTGCAGGTCTGACTTGCTAAGCTGCTGAATACTAGAGAAAACTCAGCCTTAAAAAGAGGTTACAGGTCTGGTGAAGTTAGAGACAGAGTTTCCCGCTAAACAGTTTGCGTTTTGAATTTTTTTTTTAAACTTTCATGTGAAAGACAACCTAACAAGAGGACCGCATTGAACCTCATGCTGACATGTTTTCATCTGTTGTTCATAAAGCTAAAACAAACTTTATTTGACTAAAAATTTAAACAATAATATAATGTTAACAGTTGTGTTTTTCCTCATATCAACACATTTGATTACCAAAATATTAACAGAGTCCCCTAAGATTAAGAATTAGTGAAACGCTAATTTGCCCTCATTCATTGGTTTCAGTTTTATGAGTTATGGTGTTCTACGATGTTGGAGAAAAAAAAAATCAAACTTTTGTTTGTCTTTTGTTTGTTTTTGTCCAAACATACAGATAGTTGAGAGTGTGTTGACATAATAGTTTATGACAGTCCAAAACTTATTTGAATGAATAGCATATAGGATGCCTTCCCCCTACTCCATATTGCATACTTCTCAAGAGATCACACTTGGTTACAGGATTAAAGCCTGAAATTATGGCCATGTTATGAAAACATGACCCAAAAGATCAGATAAGATAAACTTTATTTACGCGAGAAAAAAAAAAAAAAAAAGGTTAAAGCAGTTTAAATCTTAGATACTACTGCCTTTAGTCACAATTTACTGCTGATACTTTGTAAGGTTTTAATAGAAAGTGGAACAAATAAATTCATCTTAATTAATACTCTGATATTACTATATCATATGCTCCTGTTGAAATGTAAGGTAGGGCAGCAGAGATAGATAGATAGATAGATAGATAGATAGATAGATAGATAGATAGATAGATAGATAGATAGATAGATAGATAGATA